GTTCACATTTTCATCGTTTAAATTTAATTTTGGAATGATTTAATTAAATCTGGTAGTAATTTAAAAAAAATATCAAATTGACAAAATTATCATGTATGGCAAGATTAAAAATATATACTATTTTTGTTAGAAAATGTAAGGCATTTTTAATTTTTTAAGGTATAATTATTTTCTTTTTTGTTTCAAAAGTGCCCTTATTGAACAAATCACTTTATATTTATTTTAAGGTGAAACACCCTATTAAATAGGGATTAATATGAAAAGATATGTCTAGTTTGAAAATGAATAACTACTTTATTAGAGGGTGAGATTTTGCTAAAAATGTCTTATATTTTTTAATCGAGGGAATGTGCCTTAATTTCATATTTCTATCGTTGCTTTAGTTACGAGACAGGCTAGCTATTTTGGTGAAAGTGGACGTGTCCAGAAGGGAAAGAATTAAGATCTTTCTATAGTCCCATGTCAATTTTTGGATAAATATTCATTTGCTACAAGTAAACTAGGGCTATCTTCAGATATAGCTTACCATTTGTACTAGATATTAGAAAAAAAGAAAAAGTGCCTGTTTGGGTTTCATTCATAATCGATTCTAAAGATTAAAATTATATCCAAACACCTCTGTTACATGTAAAAATCAATTATGAATTCATAATCATGTTTTCGTAAAATTATCCAAACACCTATTATACATGCCAAAATTAATTATAAACCTAAAAACATGATTTTTAAAATAGTTAATAATATTTTTGGATAAATTTTTTAAAAAATATAATTGAAAAGCAAGTAATAGTAGCTTATGAAATAACTATAGTTTTGAGTTCATAATTGATTTTGGCATATGAATGTTTGGATATTTTTAAGAAAACTATGGTTTTGGGTTAAAAACTGATTTTGGCATATATAGTAAGTGTTTGGATATTTTTTGGAAAACATCATTTTGGATTCATAATTAATTTTAATATGTAACATTGATGTTTTGATATATTTTCACAAAACTGTGGTTTTACCTGATTTTCAATTTTGTTTTTCAAATCTACTTTTCAATTTTGATTAAAATCAATCTTATTAATCAATTTTATAAATCAATTATATATCACATAACATAATCAACTATATTTAAAATCAATCATCTTCATCAATTTTTTTCACAATCAGTTATGCCCAACTGAAATTCAAACACACCCAAAATCAATTGACTTTAGAGAAACAAACTGTTTCTGCTACTCACGTTTAGATGATTATATAGATAAATTGAGTTACCCCAAAAATGACACACTCACGTTTAGATGTTTATTCAGATAAATTGAGTTGCTCGAAAAATGACACGTACACATGCGACCGCTCTTCCTGGGGTATGTTTGAATTTCAGTTAAGTATAATTTATTATAAAAAATTAATTAATATGACTGATTTTGAATATAATTAATTAGATTATGTGGTATATAATTGATTTATAAAATTAATTAATAAGATTGATTTTAATCAAAATTAAAAAGTAGAATTGAAAAGCAAAATTAAAAATTAGGTAGAACCATGATTTTGTGAAAATATATCGAAACATCTATGTTACATATTAAAATTAATTATAAATCCAGAACCATATTTTTCAAAAAATATCCAAACACCTATTATACATGTCAAAAATCAATTATGAACACAAAATCATGGTTTTCATGAAAATATCCAAACTCCCCCTCATACATGCCAAAATAAATTATGAACTCAAAACCATGGTTATCTTATGAACTACTATAACCTGTTTTTCAATTATACTTTTCAAAAAATTTATCCAAAAAAATTATAAACTATTTTAAAAATCATGTTTTTTGGTTCATAATTGATTGGCATGTATAGTTGAATATTTTTAAGAAAATCATGGTTTTGGATTTATAATTGATTTTGGCATGTATAAAGCATGTTTGGATATTTTTAGAAAAATATAATCTTAGATTCATAATTGAGTTTCACATTTAACAAAGGTGTTTGGATATATTTTCACAAAAACATTATTTTGGCCTTTGGAATTGATTATTTATGAAATTCAAATTGGCACTTAGGTTTTTTTTTTTTAAAGAAAAAGATGACAAGGCAGAAAGAGTCTTTTAGTCTTAATCCATTTTCCATGTAAAATACGATCCATCATGTTTAGATCCTTCTCGTTATTTTGTTGTGTATTAGCGTTAATCAATAGTCAAATTGACTTGATAATGCAAATTATTAAGAAGGCATAAATGCATTGTATACTCTAACTTTATATAAAATTAAGTTCATTTCTTTAATTTTATAAATTATCTTTTTAATTCTTTTACTCAAACATAGTCTAGAATGATGATTTTTTATACTAATAACTGTTATTTTTAAAAAAATTAAACTTAATATGTTAACATTTGAATTTTTTTTATCAACATTTGAAAAAATAAAAATGAACTGTTATTTTTTTATACTAATTAAAAGTTTAACATTGACATTTTTGAAAATAACACTAATGATGATATGATTTGAAGATTGAAAAAATACTTTATAAAATGGGAAAATTACAACCAAGGACTGCTGAAGGAATCTATTTATAGACAAGTACCATATAATTTTGAAATTATACTGCAGTACCAAGGGAACAAAACATAATTAATTTTGAATATGAAAAGACAAAATGGCCCTCAATTTTTTTTTAAAAAACTCCTCAGCCACCGGCTGCTGGAGCTCCAAGGCTAGTGGCTGGACAACCCCTTTAAACTGGCCATTTGAGCTCTGGCAATGGTAGTTGAGCCACCATCGAAGCTTTGGTGTTGATTATCAGATTGACGAGGGAGGCAAGCTATTTTTTTTTTTAAGGTGGGCAAGGTGGGGTGTGTGAATCCACATCCTCTTGGCCATCAAAAGGATTGTTAGCCTAAATATTTTTAATTATATAATGCAAATATATATACTTAACTTTATTTTTACTTTTCATGCTAACATTTATCAGGAGCTCAATGGTTACTTGTCATTTTACAAATGGTTACTTGTTAAACTACTGATGGAACTTGTTAGAAAATTTAATGCGCATTGATTTTTATAAATGCTTACTTGTTTTTATTACCGAGATTAACAATTTAACAAGTAATCATTTATAAAATGACAATTCTTGTTATTAGCTTTGAAAATTTCTCTTGATAACTTGACAAGAAAATTTTAGCAAAATAACAAGTTCCTATGAACTTTTGACATGTAAAATTTTAGTAATAAAAAAAAGTAAACATTTAAAAAAACCACTCCATATTAAATTTCTTTAACAAGTCTCCATTGATAATTTAACAAGTGACCATTTGTGAAATGACAAGCCCCGTTACTACCTTCAAAAATTTCTCTTGATAATTTGATAATAAAATTTTAGCAAAATAACAAGTTTCTATGAACTTTTCACATGTAAAATTTTAGCAAAATAAATTAAGTAATGGAACTTGTCATAGGACTTGTCATTATTAATCAATTTATCATGACAAATCCCATTACTTAATTTAACAAGTAGTCATTTGTAAAATAACAAGTAACCATTAAGTTCCTAATAAGTATTGACATAAAAAGTGAAAGCAAATTTTAAAATATAACGGGACTTATCATTTCACAAATGGTCATTTGTTAAATTATCAATCAGGACTTGTCAATGAAATTTAAATGGAGTGATTTTTATAAATGTTTACTTATTTTTATTACTAAAATTTTACATGTCAAAAGTTCATAAGAACTTGTTATTTTGCTAAAATTTTCTTGTCAAGTTATTAAGAGAAATTTTTAAAGCTCATAAATGGACTTGTCATCTCACAAATGATTACTTATTAAATTGCTAATAGAAACTTGTCATTCTTGATAATAAAAACAAGTAAGCATTTATAAAAATCAATGCGTACTAAATTTTTTAAGAAGTCTCATTAGTAGTTTAATTAACAAATAGCCGTTTGTAAAATGACAAATAACCATTAAGCTCTTGGTAAGTATTGACATGAAAAGTGAAAGCAAATTTTAAAATATAACGGGGCTCATCATTTCACAAACGGTCACTTGTTAAATTATTGATGGAGACTTGTTAAAGAAATTTAATATGGAGTGATTTTTATAAATATTTACTTGTTTTTATTACTAAAATTTTACATGTCAAAAGCTCATAGGAACTTGTTATTTTGCTAAAATGTTCTTGTCAAGTTATCAAGAGAAATTTTCAAAGCTAATAATGGAGCTTGTCATTTTACAAATGATTACTTATTAAATTGCTAATGAAAACTTGTTATTCATGGTAATAAAAATAAGAAAGCATTTATAAAAATAAATGCATAGTAAATTTATTAACAAGTCCCATTAGTGGTTTAACAAGTAACCATTCAGCTCCTGATAAATGTTAGCATGGAAAATGAAAATAGAGTTAAATATATATATATATATATATATATATAAAACTTTGCATTATATAATTGAACGGATTTGTTAGCCACTCCTTTTGGTGGTCAAGAGGATGTGGCTTCAAACCCCACCTTGGCAACCTTAAAAGAAAAAATAGCCTGTCTCCCTCGTCGGTTCAGTGATTGGCGCCGAAGCTTTGATGGCTAGTTCAGAGCGATGCTCCGACCACTGGCGTCGAAGCTGTGGCAGCCAGTGGCTGAGGAGTTTTTTTTTTAAAAAAAATCGAGGGACAATTTGTCTTTTTACATTAAAAATTAATTACATTTTGGTCCCTTGGTATTGCAGCATAATTTCAGAATTATTTGGTACTTGTTTGTAAATGGATTCCTCCAGCAGTCCTTAGCCGTAATTTTTCCTTATAAAATTAAGAAACTAAAATGAAACTTCATACGAAGTAAAAAAAAAAAATCAATGGGTACACTTTTGTCTTATCAAGTAATATTTCATATTTATCTCTGGGTGTCGTGATTTTCTTTATGGGTTTCTTATTTCTGATTTCCATAACTTTAACCTATATATATATATATAACTAATTTACACCATTGGAATTTAATTTGCAAGAGACAATGAGTTCATCAGATGGTGTCCAGGGGAAAAAATTGGAGGAACTATGTAGGTATGCTAGGGAAGGCTACTGGGGTTGTGTGTTGGAAACATACAAGGAAGAAAGGAAGCTTCGCACGAAGAAGATAACAGAAAAAGGAGACACATTTTTACACTTGGCTTTGTCTAAAGATGCGTACCTTGTGGCGTCAGAAATGATATCCATACTTGAAGAAGCGAAAAATAATGTGAAAGACAAGGTTAGAGATGGAGAGAGCCACGTGAAGAAGGTGCTTCGGGCTAAGAATTTTGATGGGGAGACAGCACTTTTCCTGGCGGCTCTCCATGGCAACAAAAGTGCTTTTCTTCGCCTTTATTATCTTTGTAAGCATAGCGATGGTGGAGATTCTTCAACTGATCCTGACCATGCTGACTGTATAAAAAGGAACAACAATGATACCATTCTCCACTGTGCAATTGAACACGGCCATATTGGTAAATTCAAACGTCTATTGCTGTGTTTTAGATTTAATTAATTAACTAGTGATCAAGTGCAGATCTATATGTGGTTTGCTTTGATTTGGCAGATGTGGCAATCGAAATATTTCACCTTTACAGAGATGATCTTGTGAATTGCAGAGAGATGAAGCGCAACAATGATGGCTTGTCTCCGCTCCATCTTCTAGTAACAACGCCTTCAGCTTTCAAAAGTACAAGTCTCCATGGTCGATTTATCGTTGTTCATCTCCTTTATCGTAAGTACCGTATGTTGTCCATTGAAGAGAATGCAGATTGTGCGTGAGATAGATGTTTCCGTACAACATGTCAGCATGTCAAGTGTAAGTTGACTTAGTTTAGTATGAGGGAAATGTCTCAAATCAGATAGAGTTGAATTAGAGAAGATGCATATAGGTGGAAAAAACTCATGAACTCAATGCTTTAAGATTTATTTTTTTGGGTTAAGATGTAGTATTATAATCACTTATATGCGTACTCTTGGAGCTGTTAAGTGGCTTAGTTGTGTCCTCTTCCCTTCCAACGTGTTCCTTGTGTCCAACAAGTGGTATTCGAGGTTGGTCCCGATAAGGGACCTGGTGTGAAGATAATGGAAAAAGACTTGGATGGCCACAAGTGTTATTGGGGTGTGCTATTTTAGCAAGTTGACTTCTTCAAAGTATGGGTGAATAGAAGTAGCATGTTTATGTAGTTAATGGTGGGCTAACACTTCAAGAGAGATTATTGGGATGTCAAGTGTCAGTTGACTCAGTTTAGTATGGTGGAAAAAATATCAAATTGGATAGAATTGGGTTGGAAAAGAGATATATAAGTGATAAAGATGCATAAACTCAATGCCTTAAAATTTTGGGTTAAAATCAAGGGCGGAACTAGGAAGTCAAGGGTGAGGGGCCAAATTGATGGAAAAGGTATTATAGATATAGTGTTATTTTCAAAAAAATTTAAAATTAAAATAAAAAATATTATTAAAATAATTTTATAACATGATAATTATTTATAATCATACAACTTTGTAAAAAAATAAAATAATATTGTATATTTAAAATACTAGTTTCAATAAAACTAGTTTTGGCATACTTTATAACTTTGGCATTTCTATATTTCATAAAACATTGACATTAATTGATTGGTGATTACATGTCTTCATTAATAATATTATAAGACACTTTTTTTAAAACATAATGTTAAGAAATAGAATGTATTTTGGGTATTCCAAAGTGTAATTAATAAGTATTTCTTAAAATATCTATAATTAAGTTATAATTAAAAAGATTTTTTAATTGAGATACCCTATTAAATAAACATAAACATGAAAATAATATATTATTTCAAAATACATTATAATTATGAGCAGAGTGAATATAGGATATAATATTTATTTCTTTATAAGTATATATATAAAAACATTCATTTAAATTTTTTTGGGGGAGGGGGGCATTTGAAATACACCACCCCTATTCATATTAGAAGGGGCCATCAAGGGGACCAAGGCCCCCTCAAGGGTATGCCTGGTTCCACCTTTGGTTAAAAGGTGGTATTATACTTATTTATATATATTCTTTTGGAACTATTAGGTTGTCTAGTTCCAAGATGCTCCTCAGGCCCAACATGACATGCTTCTTAGAAATGCAAACATATTTAGGTAGTGTCTAATTTTTTATGAACCTTGTGACTTTATGTATAAATAATATGCTTGTTTTGTTTGTTTGTTTGGAACTTCAACAAGAGCTTATTAGTGTTAAGGAGAAGAAGGCGCCCACCACCGAGAAAGAAGTACGGGCACCACGTGAGCATGAATCATTCTACAGAATCTACTACGACTTAGTATTGGACTGGTTCTTGGATTTAGGCAAGCATGATTTACATTCTTAACTCTATATTTTTCTTTAAATTCAACAAAAAATTTAGAGGAGAAATGTCAATGATTAGTTAGTGTTCTGTGTTCATCTCCTACATGTTTGGAAACTAATAAACTTGTGACTCGCATTTGCAGTATGTGCAGTATGCTGGGACTTTAGTCAAAGGCATGGCGTCAAGTATAGTTTAGCCCTGGGCGTCAAGTATATTTTAGCCCTGCTGGGATTTATAATCTTGGTCCTGCTCGCCCTCCCGATGGCCCTCCCGCTAATCCTCTCGCTATACATCCTCGCTTTATTTTTATTAGCAGGTACGTCATGTCAATGTGCATTACAAGAGGGATCAAAATCCTCTAAAGTTTTATGAGGACCAAGTGATTAATTTTTTCAATGAAATAATAATTTTTTATTAAATCAAGTGGCATAAACTTGTTATATAAAATTAAATGACTAAAATAAAATTTTATATAAAGTTAAAGAACCAGACCTGCCCTTTTACTAATTGTTTTTAAATTCTCCACAACATTTTTGAAAAATTTGGTGGTGGCTGAGCTACGGGTTCTGCTGATTCCTAGGGAAATGGCTACATGGGATACGAAAAATGAAGCAGGAGCACACATGGTATGGTCAAATAATGAATGGACTTCTTGACAATGCCTCAAGTGAAGAGATGTCCAAGATAAAACATGACGACAGCGGTAATTAAAGCATTATGATTTTATTTTATACATATAAAGCTATAAGAAAGAGTAATCATTCTTCACTTTTACTATTGGATCACTTACCCTTCATTTAGATAAGTTGAAAAAATAGAGGGGAAGAAAAAATCCTAAAATATAATATTAAGAAAAATGTCTTCCTATTTTTATGAGGTTTTCTTTCTAATATTCTTTAATTGCAACAAGCTGTTGGTAGCTTTTAATTCTCTGACAGCACTTTATTATACTCATCAATTTCAAAACTGGAAAGTTTCGCATGTCTTATTTTAATTTTTTTTTCAAAAAATTGTGAGGGATTTAATTATCATTAATTCTTCTCTTTCGGATTTAACTGTCATTCTCTCATGACAATTTTGGTGCACTGCTCAATTGGCTGAATTTACGCAATTTTTTGTTTGATATTTTGAGTTGAAGTGATTAAAGTCGCGGGCGCGCACACACATGCATGTGTGTAGAAAACTGCTAAATGATCTATGTATTGTGTGTTGCATGCATGAGCAATGAGTTGTCCATAATATAAAACATCTTTTAAAAACTTTACCTTATCTAAAATACAGGGTATTGTGTAACTTTTATATTTGTTTTTTCAACTGTACTTCATTTATTATTTTTTTTTGAAAAAATCATGCATTAAAATTTTAATTACTATCATCAAAGCTTTTATATAGAGTATTTAATGAGGATATAAATGGAAAGATGTAATATTTTTAAGAATTTAATGTTTTAACTAACATTGTTCGTAAATTATGAATTAGTTAACTCTGACTTATTTGCTCTGTTTTTATTTGTAGGAGGAAAAAACTATATCACACAATTTAAGAAAATATATTAAATATATTAATTGTGTCTGAAAATAAAAAATTGGACTAAATACCCTTCATTAATTGTGTTAATCAAACTTTCATTAATTTTTTCTTATAATTATGAATGATAAAATTATGAATGGTAATTTAGGAAGTTTGCAATAAATGCTTATTGAAAAATGTGATTTTACTTATATAAAAAATTAAAAATGATAATTTCTTCTATAAATAAAAACAGAGGGAGCATATTGTGGTTAGAGGGAGTGTATTCTTACGATCGTGCATTTATTTATGCAGTGAAACTATTGAAAGAAATGAACATATTTTATTTTAATTATTTAAAAATTCTCCATTATTTTTTGAAATTGTTTCGTCTCTACTAACCTAAGGGTTCTGATTCCTAGGGGAATGGCTTCGTGAGATGCGAAAAATGGAGCAGGAGCATGAATGGTGTGGTCAAATAATGAATGAACTTCTTGAGCATGAAATGTCAAAGATAAAACTTGAGGACAGCGGTAATTAAAAGCATTATGATTTTATTTTATACATATAGAACTAGACATTTTAGGACGAGTAATCATTCTTCACCTTCACTATTGGATCACTTACACTTCATTTAGATAAGGGGAAAATATAGAAGGGAAGAAAAACTCCTAAAATATAATATTAAGAAAAATGTCTTCCTATTTTATGAGGTTTTCTTTTTAATATTCTTTAATTGCAACAAGCTGTTGGTTGGCTATAATTCTCTGACAATACTTTATTATACTCATTAATTTTAAAATTGGATAGTTTCACATGTTTTATTTTAATTATTTTTCAAAATTTTTTATTAAAAACTTAATTATCATTAATTCTTCTCTTTGCCACTTAACTATCATTCTCTCATGACAATTTTGGTGCATTACTCAATTGGCTGACTTTACACATAATTTTTTGTTTGATATTCTGAGTTGAAGTGATTTAAGTCACGCACGCGCACACATACACATGCTTGTGTATAAAGCTGCTAACTGATCTGTGTATTGTGTGTTGCATACATAAGCAATGAGTTATCAGTTACTTCCTCTATTAAAAAATATAAATTATTTTTAATTAAATTTCATTCTAGTTACTTATCTAGTTTTTTTTATCAATTAACCCTATCTTTTCATATTAATTTCATTTTAATAGGGTGTTTCACTCTAAAATAAAGGACACCTTTAAAAAAAATAATGATTATACTTTACGAGATTAAAAATACTTTACATTTTTGAATATTCAACTCCTTAAAAAATACTTTATATTTTTTAAGAGAGAGAGTATATTATTACTATCGAGTATTTAATTACATAGTGAAGCTATTGAAAGAAATGAACATACCTTATTTTAATTATTTAAAAATTCTCCATTATTTTTTGAAAACGTTTCGTCTCCACTAACCTAAGGGTTCTGATTCCTAGGGGAATGGCTTCGTGAGATGCGAAAAATGAAGCAGGAGCATGAATGGTGTGGTCAAATAATATATGAACTTCTTGAGCATGCCTCTGATGAAGAAATGTGAAAGATAAAACTTGACGACAGCGGTAATTAAAAGCATAATGATTTTATTTTATACATATACTCCCTCTATTTTTATTTATAGGAGAAACTATTACTTTTTTTTTCTTATATAAATAAAATCATATTTTTCAATAGGCATTTATTACAAACTTTTTAAATTACCCTTCATAATTTTATCATTTATAGTCATAAGAAACAATTAATGAAGGCTTGATTAACATAATTAATAAAGGGTATTATAGTCTAATTCTTTTATTTTCGTATAAAATTAATATAGTTAACTAGTTTTTTAAATTATGTGATACAGTTTTTTTCTCCTACAAATAGAACCAGGGAGAGTAAAATGGAACTTGACATTTTAGGAGGAGTAATCATTCTTCATATCACTTGACACTTTTCATTTGTATAGGAAGAGAAATAGGAAAGATGGGAATACCGTTTTACTATTTTTATTAGGAGGTTTTTTTTTATATACACCTTATTAGGAGGTTTTTCTCTTGATAATTTGTTTTCTTATTTTACTACTATTTTCCTCTCCTTCCAAACGTAGTTTTAATGGTAAAAATATTGAGCAAGCCAGTTAATTAATTTTTTTTCTGGGTTTTGTTGAAACTATATACTTTCTTTTTAAGAAAATTCTACAAATTTTGTTTAATATGAAAGTGTAAATTATACAAATTATTCTTGAACAATTCTGTTAAATTACCCAAAATTCCGATCCTTTCTATTTCAAAATGCATGCAAGCCTCTTTTAAAACATAAATAAACTGCACACATTTTTCATGAGCTTTTTTAAATAACAAACATACACTTTCCTTATATTTGGACAAAAAATTTGTGCATATTTTGAAAATAGAATAATATTAATTTTAATAAATTTATGAGAGATTTGTGTAATTCAATATTAATTTTAGAGGATATTTGTATACATTTTGAAGAAGAGAGGAGATGCTAGAATAACTTTAACACAATGTATGATCAAATATTCATTATTATATTATCCATTTAAAACATTTTAGTATCAATGTAATTTTAATAAGCTCAAAATAAATTAGTACTCTCTCCGTTAAAAAATATAAAATTTTTTTTGAGGAGTTGAATGTTAAAAAATGTAAGGCATTTTTAGTCTTTTGAGGTGTAATCATTATCTTTTTTTTAAGTGCTCCTATTAATGAATGACTTTGTATTTATTATAGGGTGTTTAATAGGAGTAAATATGAAAAGATAGGGTTAGTTTAAACGTAAGTAACTACTTCATTAGGGGGTGAGATTCGGTTAAAAATGCTTACATTTTTTAATAGAAGGAGTATAATTTACTCTTAAAACGCTGGCAAAAAAAGGTTTACTCTTGAAACATTTCATATTTGAATGTGTGTGGAAGTCCATGGGTTCTTTTTTTCCATAAAAGAAAATAAGTTGTTTTAGAGGAACTTTATAATATTATATCATCAATATCGATATAGAAAATTAGCAACCGTAAGTTTCAATGGATCACAAGCTATGTACATGGTTTACATTGGATGTACCTTAATATCATCAATGAATTGAGATCGAGCTTGGGTAAATGATTAGAAATACTGACTAGGTTTTGAAGATATGGGCCCAATTATAGGAGATTTTCCCTTAACAACCTAAAACAAGAAAACTTAAATAGATCGGGTGCATTACGTCATTTGTGGTCTGTTCAATTAAAATACTCCAAGTAATCTAAATAAATATCAAAATTAATTTATATTTAATACCACTTAAATATCATGTTTTTATTGGATAAATCACAAATGACGTGTTGCACTCAGTCTACTAAAAAATTTCTCCAAGATCTATCAAGGAACTTGTCCTTAGATCAGTCTAGTATTCAGCTTATAAAGTAACTCTCTGTTATCTAAAATATTTTTTAATATGTGCCTTTGAATAGGCCAAGAATAATACTAACTTAAATAAGAGTCTCTGTTTTTTTTTTGGCCATAAAAAGAGTTCATTTTATAATCATAACAAATATGTTAAGTTTACACACTAATAGTCAAAGCAAAAAAAAAAAAACCACTAAAAGAAATCTACAGAGACAAACTATAACACACAAAAAATCACAAAAAAAAAAAACAAAACAAACACAAAACAAGAAAGACTGTTCAACAATCCAACAAAGAAAAATAAAAATAGAAACAAAGCAACTAACCAATCCTTGTTTTAACCAGCCAATATTGCTGGTATTAGCAGACAAATTCAAAGCTTTAACCCCATCAGGATTCAGCACCCAAGCCAAGGTAGATGAAGGTAAAGTCACCAAACCAATCAAGTTCATCTTCCTTTTAGTATTACTTGTAAGAAAATCCGCAACCTTATTACTATCTTTATTGATCAGAGAGAAAAACCAAGTATTCACAAAGTTTCACAAGCTTTGAATGTCTTTGATAACACCGGTACTTTTCCTATCACAAATAAATAGGACTCTTTAAAATCACAAATAAAAATTTAATTGAGAAAGTTGAGCCTATGAGGCCGCTTAATGGATACGCAATTAAAATAATACACAATAAATTTTAAAAAATAATAGACCCAAATTGATATCTAAACAATATACTAATTAATTTAAATTTAAATAAGATAAACTATATTAAGAGATTTAAAAGATCATTTGAATGATGCAAAATATCTCAGAAAATAAAAATAAAGTGAATTAATTAGGAGCCCTCTTGAATAGGATTTTATAGTACTTATTATCTTCACCCATGTACTTCACTAGAACTTAAATGCTCCATGGACCGCCACTTGAAATACAATTGTCACATGGAGCACCACCTAGATTGTCCCTGGGCATGTCATTTACTCTTTTCAAATCTCTTTTCTAGTTGATTTTTTCTCACTTGACCAGTGTCATAAATTATAAAGTTATGTAACTGTCCTTAGGGTTCATATCAGTTAAATCTTTGCCTTCTAAATATAGGTCAAAGATGTGATAGTTTTTTTTTTTAAATATTGCCCCTCTTTAATTGCAACATGTTGTCATGTCTTTAATTCTTGGACAACAGTTTATTATAGTCATTAAATTTCAATGAAGAACAAAATTAGAAAGTTATACATTTTTCTACAAGTTTAAGAATATTAATCATCATTCTTAAAAAACTGTAGAATTAGTTAATTTTGCCTTATAATTAATAGTACAGGAGGAGGTATTAATTTAATTAATTGGATATTCCCTCCGTCTTTAGGAAAATTTGTTAATCCTAATAATTATATCTAGAATTGAAATTTCTGGACTAAAATGCTCAAGCAATTAATATTTTTTCCAATTTAATGATATTACATTTAATGAAAGATAATTTAGGAAATATCCTATATATATATTTTGAAAATTGTTGTTTTCCTTGTATTAGAGAACCAACAGAGTAGTTGTAGTAAGAATTTAGCGAGTTTGCATGCATTTTTTTAATTATTCAAGATGCAATAATAATTATCCAATTTGGTGATTTGGATTGTGGATGATTGGAAAGGGGCGGGCAGTAAAATAGTTGAGACACCGCTGATGATTGCTGCGAAGAATGGTGCGGTTGAAATGGTGAAGTGGATTGTGGAAAAATTTCCGTGGAGGATTGAAGATGTGAATGATGAGAAGAAGAACATAGTTCTAGTTGCAGCAGAAAAAGGGCAGAGAAAGTTATATCAGTTTTTATTGGATCAAAAGGGAGACAGAATTCCCGAAAGTGCATTTAGCCAAATAGATAAGAAGGGAAACACTGCATTGCACTTGGCAGCCATGAGTGGTGCTAACCTAAATTGGCAAACAACTACCATGATAGAGGAATCCAAGTGGTTTGAGGTGCGTTTCTATTTGCTGCTAAAATTTGTCTGCCATAACCATCAGGTCTAATGGAAATTTAAAATACTCATCACTTCAAATAAATAAATAAATAGAAAAAATTAATCATTTGATTCCTTTAGTTTTGATTTAATTGTAATTTATTTTTTAAATTTTGACTCGTTGTAACCTAATTTTTATAGTTTGTAACTCAGTTCCTAACTCAGTGCAACTCAGTCATCCCTATAATTTTAGTAACTTAAAATATTTTTATTTTATTTTTTAAAATATAGGAACTGAGTTGTATTGAGTCAAGGTTCAAGGATTGAATAACAACCAAGTCAAAACTTTAGGGATTGAGTTACAACGAGTCAAAATTTAGAGAGTTACAATTGAGTTAAAACTATAAGGGCCAAATAATTAATTTTTTTAAATTAAATATTATTTTCTTTTTGTATAAAAAAAAAGGATGATGAATCTTTTGGTCTCTCAAGTTTATCTCAATTATCAATTTTATTCTTGAAGTTTAATCTTTATCAATAGAGTTCCTAAAGTTTCATACACAATTTCATGTTCTTATTTGATCTCATTAGACCAACAATTTTCTAAAATTCATCAAACCTTATGATTATGAAACTTTAAGGACTAGATTGATAATGATGAGGGTCAAAAAGTGATTTTATTTGTTTCTTATTACTATACTATTTAAATTGACACAACTCCAAAGATTGATTAAGAATGTTAGATAAAATAAACAAGGTGAATATATAAATTGTGATGCTCGCAGTTAGTGAAAAAATCAGTGCCTTCTAATTTGAGGGAGCGGCTCAACGATGAGGGGAAAAGAGCAGAAGGAATCTTTCGAGCGATTCATGGGGACTTGATGAAAGGCGACTTAGAGTGGTTGCATAAAACCTCACAAGCATGTTCTGTGGTGTCCACCCTCGTTGCAACCATGGTCATTCCCAATGTGGCATCCAGTTCTGGTAATAGTGGCAAGCCAATACTTATAAACAAGTTTGGATTCGAAGATCTTCCAAACCCATATCTTGTCACCCTTTCCTTGTCCCTCATGTCCACTATCTCCTTCCTAGGCATACTTGCTTCTCGTTTTCAATCCATTAGCCTTTGGACACTCGTGCCCCTTCATGCTTCACTTTGGTTTGTTCTTAATGTTCGCCTCCCTTTTTTCTCTGTGGATCTCTCTCATGCTCCATGACAATTCTCCAAGAACTTATGTAATTCTTGGCTCTCCAATCGCCTTCCTTAACATGGTCTTACTACCCATATTCCTTCATCCTACGTTGAAGTCTATATTTGTTTACCAAGGTTCCGATTCCAGCCGCCAGACCAAACTCAAGCAAAATAAGAGTGAAACAGAAAATGATAAACATTCTGCATCAGGATGAGATTTGAAACCCTGAAATTAATTAAGTGCGTGTCTTATTATTTAAACAACACCGTCCATCATATATATATCTTTTAAAAGCTTGTGTGTGCGTGTCAGTTGATAGTTTTATTTCTCTTTTGTTTGCAACATTATGTGTGTAATAACTATATTATTTTATTATCATACATACTACTGTGCTTTTGATGTTTCTGATATATAATTATTCCTTGGACCACACTTCCATAGCTTCATTTTTGGGGTGCGCACATGAGGATGCCAATCCAACTTGCGGCTCACTGGTAAAGTGTATAATTACTTTTATCAGTGAAGTCGCGAATTTGAATCGGCAAAGACAAAAAAGGTGCACATGATGACCACCAAGTGATCTGATTCAAATTAATGTATGTCGACTTAACCAAATTGAGTACTTAATTCATTGCATCACATGAATTAAGTGTGTGTTTGGATAGCCATATTAATTTATTTTCCGAGGAAAAAAATCAATTTTGGCTTCAATTATCCCAATACCAAGGCCCCGTTTGGTAACTTGGAATCATAGAAAAAAGAAATGGAATTAGACATGGCATCTGTTAACATGTGTGTTTGGTATGCAATAATTATGATTCTTTGGAATCTGGATTCAAGGAAATTTGACAGAATTCAATTCCATCACATACATCATGGAATCTGATTCCATGGTTTCCTTTCTCCAGTTTGCCCCTTCTCCCTCCTCCAATATAATTTTTTTTTAATTTTAAAAAGGGCACTTTGGTCTTTTCTTGTTTTAAGTACTTATATTTTATTAAAATTATATCAGAATTCCATCATCATACCAAACATACTTTTAAATCTAATTATATTCTCATTTCGATTCCATTAAAAACTCTTCGATCATACCAAACATGGCCCAAATTTTTTTGGTTAATCAATTTTTGGGGTGAAAATCAATTTTTTCCCGAAGCTGCAAATCCAAGCTTTTGCGGAAAAGTTCATTAAACAATGTTGAGAAAAATTATAAAGAAAGGCCCAAGAACAAATTACAAAGAAAGCACATAATTTAATAAAAATAAAACCAAATTCTCTTCTCTTCTCTTTTTTTTTCTTAATAAAATTTAAACTTTGTACCCTCAAAAAATTGATGTTTGGAATTTAAGAATTAAATTGTATAGTAATTTATATAGTTAAAATTAATTTTAATTTTATCGAAACATCTTCAATTCTGTTAAAATCAATTTTAGAAAAATAGTACCCAAATAGATTACATTATAACATAATCAATTATGATTAAAGCCTACCACTTAATTAGTTATTTTCATAATCTATTATATCCAACTAAAATCCAAATGGACACTAAATTGTTGCGATAGCTATCGTTTGTAATTACTGATCATGAGATAACATTACTTGTATATTGGCAGATTGATGATTTTCTTGGCAAGGTTCAGATAATTATAGTGATTAGTATATGACAGTTGATTTAGATCTTGAACACATAGGGATTATCAATATTGAATACTATAGATCCGTTTGGTTTGTTAGGGTGTTTGAGAAAAAAGTTCTTTTTTAAAACTGATTAAATTACAGAATAATACAAAGTCTAAAATATCCCTCAAGCATAAAAAAATTTCTAGGGAGAATGACATTTAAGGCTCTTTCAAGAAAATTTATTATAATAAAGGCCCATCAATTCTGTATTTGATATTATCTTGCAAAAACACGTGTATACTGCTATTAAAAATTGAGCTTTAACTTGTTAAATTTTGAAGGTAAGGCCCTCTCAAGAGAATTTATTGCAATAAAGGCCCATCAGTTTTTTATGTTGAACAATCTAAACTTAATTTGGAAGACCCAATTCAATATTAATTTTTTTATATTTATAAATTTACTTCCCTGATATACCTTAAACAATCTAAATTTAATATTAAATTTTTTATAATTTTTATAATTTTTTATTATAATATTAAAAATAAAGATAATCTCAAAATTGGCACTTTTAAAGAAATATTTTTGAGAAAAAATTGTTAGATAAAAATCTAAAATTTGACTATCCAGAATACATTTAGATAATTAATTCATAAAAATGTTAAAAATTGTAATATTAAATTGAACTATTCAAGTTAAGGTTGTATTGTCCATTTTGATAATAAACTAATTTTTTATAATTATAATTTTAATAAAAAATAAAAAAATAATTTTTTAAATCTAGACCATCCAAATTTTAATTTGGGCCATCCAGATCTAAGGGTGTGCTTAGCACCGAGACAATTCCATACGGTGATTGAGCTATTTTATTTTTAAAATTTTTTGGGGTTACTATTATTGTACCACATCATTTATATACTGTTGAGTGAAATTAAGATATTTAAATTTTTTTATTTTATATGGAGTACTTTTGAGGGATAAAAAATAATTTTATTATATTTATGAGGTATTTTATTGACTTTTTATCAAAAAAAGTTTCATTTTACTTTATTAACTACTTGTGAAAGAAAGTGCATTGTTAATATATATAATATATATATATATATATTAAGAGTAAAATTTAAAACTTATTAATTTTTTTTATAAAATGTTAATAAGTTTTGAGATTTTTTTTTGAGTGAAACATGTTAAAAATGATTTATACATAAAACTAGAAGGAATATGTGCTTTTAAGAATTTTTTTTATACAAGTTTTTTTAGAGTTTAAAAGCAATATTCCTTCCTTTTCATTGTACTTGTCTTTTTTTATTAAAAAAATGCAATAAATATGTAAAGATATGACATAATTATCTTCTTCCAATAATAAATACTTTTTCCAATCTTTAATTGTGCGCATGTGTCACAAAATGGACACCAATTGATGGTGAGGCAGTTAACAAAGCTGGCATCAACAAAGGGTTACTCAACCGCGTTAACCAACGTCCTATATTGATAGTTAATTAAATAACTGTCAATATAGGGTTCACTCATTGAATTTATATATACATAATTAATGGTTTTAACTCATTGGCTAAATAAATACAAAAGTTTAGATGAACATATTTTATTCTAATAATATATATAATTACAGGATGTTTTTAAACAATATTTTTTTAAAAAGAATCCTATTCCCACTGACTATGGTTATGATTCCTAGAAACTACAAGGTCGCCAGTTCCTTTGGGACTCGGTTTTGGTGCTCCACTGCCGTTCTTTTCTTTTGCTTTTTTTAACCACAAATTTATTATAATAATAAATAATTATTATAAAATTATTATTTTAATATTTAATAAATTAATAAATATTAAGATGTTAAAATTAAACCTAAATAGCTTAAACAAAAATTTTGGTTTAAACATTGAGAACTGTATTAAAAAAATAAAAAAATGATCTAAATAATTTAAAATAGGAGTTGAGTCTAGTAAAATGAACCAGTTTCTTACTCTGCAATAAATCAATGTTCGAATTACTATTAAGAGAAGTACCTATATTTAATACATGACTATGCCTTAAATGATATTATCTCTCGTAGATAAATAATTGTGCAAAATCAATAAAATAAAAAATATTTTTATTTACAATTTTAATTTTTTCAATACAATTGTAAATTGTTCAGACCAAAATTTATATATAAACTGTTCAAGTCAAATTTTAATGAGTTAATATGTTCATATTTAATTTTAACATCTTAATATTTATTTATTTATTAAATATTAAAATAATAATTTTATAATATTTATTTATTATTATTATAACAAATTTTTGGTTAAAAAAACACTACCAAATGTTAGTGTTTTGGTGCTGAGCACCGAAACCGATTCCGTTCCTTTGGGGAGGGATTGTCAGAATATTGCCTATATGGTAAAGCTGGGATGGGGCTTGATCAAACAAAGAGATGCTCTGTGGGTAAAATTTCTGGGAAAAAAGTATCAATGTGGGATGATGTGATTCTCTAAAAAAAAAAAAAAAACTCTTGACAATAATTTTCAACAGCAACAAAAGAAGTTACTGTGAAAAGTGAACTTGTAATGGCGACTTTTAATGATTGTCACCAAAAAATAATCTTTAGTGGCAATATGACATAAATAAAATAAAAGCCATGAGCTTGCAAATGAGAGAGGAGGGCATCCTGGTAATTTGACAAAAATTTAAAAAAAAAAGCACCATTTTTAACCTAAAACATGAGAATTAAAATTAAACTCAGCTTCCATTAGCCCCTAGATATTATAAATATAATGAAGGTGATGCAATATATTATTTACATATGACCCCGTACACACCCATAATAAAGGTGAGTGAATTCAGGGAGTAAATTTCAAAAATTAAAATAAAACTAAGAGAATTCATATCAAAATTATATCATCATCACTTTCACAAGGTTTTTATACACAGGTGGACTCTTTCGATTGCCACATGCACCATACGCACTTGCACTACTTAATTTGTGCATTAAAACAACAATACATGAAGACAATGAATATTAGTTTAGATTTACCAAAATGCCCTTATGCAGTGGCACAGTGAAGAACGTTGTCACCGTTGTCTGCCACCACCTTCGCATCCCAAATAGAAACAGCCATGTGTAACACTTTGTCTCTTGTCGCCATCAACATGGAATGAGTTATATTTACTTAATTATGTTATTGATTTCTATCCTAATTTAATTGGTATTGCTGTCTGAAATATTGAAAATACTAGTTTTGATTAATTTGGTATGGCTGTTGTATTGTTGTCGCAGATTTTAAAAAAAAGTACAGAATCAGAAGTAATGGTTATTATTTTGCCCTTTAATATGACGGTCGTTTGGCAATGTAGGTCCAAAAATTATATACCGTCATGGTTGGCCACGCCAATATACATAAGCAGTGTAATAGTAAATTATTTCCTAAAAACAAAAAATAATTGTTATATAAGCATAAAAAATAAAACATAGCAGAGCAAATCATTCAATAAGATGAAGAACTTCAAAAATTCTTCTTCATTAGTCCTCTCCAATTACATGTCCTTATACT